TCCCACATGCCGCAGAGCGGCTGGGCCCGTGAGCCATGGCCGCTGAGCCTGCGCGTCCGGAGCCTGTGCTCCGCAACGGGAGAGGCCACAACAGTGAGAGGCCCGCGTACCGAAAAGAAAAAAAAAAAAAATTATTGCTTTGCCCAGAACTGAGTTCATCATCTTCTAAACCTGCCTCTTCTCCTCTCCTTTGTCTATCTAACTGAACAGCGCCACCAGCTATTCGGTCACCTAAGACTGAGACATGGGAGACATCACAGACCCCTTCCCCCCACCCCTCATCATCACCCTGTGTGTCTCTACCTCTTTACTGCTATCTCCAGGTTCCATAAAAACACATACATGATAAAAATATTTACATGATACTCTTTTAATAAAATGAAGACAAATGAAACATATGTATATATAAAACCACCACCACCTCAGGAAGTATATGAATATATGCTGTGAAGGAGCTCAAAGAGATAAAAGACAGGGGAAAGATAGGCACAGGACTGAAGATGGTGGCTGCCTGGGCAGGAGAAGCCAGAGACATGGGATGGGGCAGGTCACTGTCCATGGTCAAGTCCTCTCTGGGCAGCAGTTTCCCAGGTTTTAATTGTATCATTAAACATAATTTTAAAAAGAGAGCCTCACATGAACCAGTGAAAAATGTGTCATGAACCAAGGATTATGCTCAATCCTGTTCTGTGTTCTAGAAGGAGAGAGACTTCATGTTCAGCACATTAGACTGTTCCCCAATGGGGAAGAAGGTTTGGGGAGGAGAGAGGAAAGAGAGAAAAAACGAATTTGTGGCCCAAGCAGGCGATCATGCACAGCCGCCAGAATAAGACCTGTTGGCTGGTGATGATAATGGGCCACAAACCCAGAAATACAAATCAACTCCACCTTGTACCTCTGTAGTTTAGTTTTTATTCCTGGATTCAAATGAGGTTGAACTTTTAATACACTGAATGTATTATTTTGTATGTATGTCTTCTGTGCATGATTTATTGTTTTAATGGGTGGGATTCTCATTTTATAAGAGGTTTTATATAGTGAGGATTTTAGCTTTTTACATATATATTGCAAACATTTTCCCCAGTCCTTTCCCTCCCAGTAGAAGTTTAGTCTGTTTTTTTTCCAGGGAGAATTTTGAAAGAAATGTTGGCTCAGGTCCTCAGCTGACCCTTCTAGTATCCAAGACACCGTGACCCTGTGATGGAAATATGCAATTCTGCTGAGGCAGAACCTCTCTCAGGAGAGCCCTGGAGTCCTCCTACTCCTTAAGGCTCTGCCCCACCCTTGGGCTCCTGTCAACTGGCTTCTGGGCCAGATGTTGGGGAAACACAGACATCCTATCCCCACCCCAAGACCTCAGCCTGGGCGGCTTTAACTAGGACTGGGCTCTGCTCCTGACCGGCCTCGAGAACTTGGCCCTGTGCCTTCCTTTCTCCGTCCTTCACTCCCCTCCTGTGCATCTGGGCTCTCCTGTCCCAGGAGCCCCTCTTTCCTGGGCACCAGTATAGGCACCCCCCACCCCCACCCCTAGTACACGGCTGGTTTGGGAGTCCATGAGCTGCTGGCGTTGGGAGGAGGGAGTGCCCTTCTGCACTTGGGCCTGATTAGGGCTTATTAGTCAGGAGTTACCACTAATTAAATACCAGCTCTTCTAGTCTGTTAGCACTGACCTTGATCCTGACCTGGCTTCTGAAAGTCTCTGACTTTTGCTTTAACAAACAACCAAGTCTGATAATTGCTTTGATCAAAGCCAGAAGTCAGGGTCAGCAGGCCCCAGGCTGGGCCAGGTCACCTTTACAAGGCTCCCTTCACCTGGAACACTCCGTTCTTTTCCCTCTCGGGGCCTCTGGCCTCCTGATCGTTCACCTTGGGAATCTTTCCACATTCTCTGGACCTCTGGGGCCACCAGCCCCTCCCATCACTTTCATCAATAATACCACCGATGACGACAACAGCAACCAACATGTGTCATATGCACATGACAATTGGCCAGGCACTCTCATATCAACTCTGGTAGTCCTAGAAGGCAAACCAGGAAGGAACTGTCAGCCCCACTTAACCCAGGAGCAAAGTAACTTCTCCACAATCACGCAGGAAGTCACTGGCTGAGCGCCTCTGAGCCCCAGGTCTTCAGACTCAGAAACAGTGCCTTGTCCCTGGTCCCATCTCATTCTCGGCCTCTGTTCTGCCTTGTCTAGCAGTTATCAAAAGGGGCCACCTGAGAGAGGTGTGATTTGAGCTCAGGAGGTCTTGCTTGCCCAAGTTTCGCCCTCATTGGCTGGTCCAGCCTTGGTAGATTCCACCATTAATGCCCCCAAGGCTTTGTGGAGCCTCCTTGGGAAACGTAGTCTCCCTACAGGTCAACAGAGTAGCCTCCCCAAAATATCCATATCCTAATCACTGAAGCCTGTGGATATGTTACCTTACATATCAAAAGGGACTTGACAGAAGTAATTAAGGATCCTGAGCTAGGGAGAGTACCCTGGATTATCCAGGTGGGGCCACTGTACTCACAGGGTCCTTTATAAGGAAGGCAGGAGTATCTGAATCAGAGAAGGAAACGTGACGATGGAAACAGAGGTCAGAGGGATGTAGTTACAAGACAATGGATGCAGGCAGCCTCTAAAGGCTAGAAGAGGCAGGGAACTAATCCTCCCCTGAGCCTCCGGAAGGAATGCAGCTGGGCTGACCCATTTTAGACTTTTGATCTCTAGAATTTTAAGATAATAAATTTGTGTTGCCTTAAGCCACTGAATTTTTGGTAATTTGACACAGTGGCAATAGGGTCACTTCCTGTGACCCTTTGTGCCCTCTGCATCTCACACTGAGGGAGTGAGAGTGCATGGTGTCCACCTCCTCCAACTTACAGGTGGGGAAACAGAGACTCAGAGAAAGGGAACTACTTGTGCAAAGCATACAGTAAGTCATCTCTGTACGGCTGCACTGAGCCACAAACCCCATGTTTGACTGCCCTTCAGGTCTCTGTTACCCCACCCCTAATAGTCCATCTAGCCCTGTTCTGTTTTCCCTTTGTTTTTTCACTTTTCCTTAATACTGGAATTCATTTATTTGGCTTACCCAGAAACACCTTGAGAGGAATGGATTGCAGTGTCAGTTATTCACATCTTCGCAGATAGTAAGGCAACCCCGAATGAAGCTCTGGAGTAGAACCTCTGGGGAATCCGGAGAACTAGATAGAGAGGAGGCTGAAAGGTGCAGGGACAGCAAGGGCAAGGTCAGCTGAGCTTCCCGTACAATGAAGCCAAGGGCACAAGGGCAAACTACAGCTTGTCTCTGGGGCAGTAACATCATCCTGAGGCTGCTGGCCTGGGCTGGCTCCAGCTTTAACTTAGCAAGAATCTGGCTGGAGATTAATGTCTTCTCCTGAGGATCCAGGCCTCCCCTCCCCAGGCCTCTCAGAGAAGTCAAAGTGGAGGCAATAAGAGAGAGGATACTGCTTTGTCCATCTAGACAGGAAGGTAGCTATGTTAGTTGAGCTCCTTCTCATTTAATCTTCGCCATAGTTCTGATAAGCAGTACCATTATGATGCCCATTTTCCAGATGAGGAAACTGAGGCTTGGAGAGGTGAAGCCCAATTGCCCACAGCTTAAGATCAGCAAATGATGGGCCCAGGATTGGATGGCCCTAACAATACAAGGTAGAACTGTAACAGAGAAGAACAAACCTGACTCCACATTGGCTCTGTTGCCTGGGTTTAGCCATGCAAGCTCTGTACCTTTGTCTCATCCAACAGTAAAAGAATGATGCT